GTTTTAATTTTTTGTAGAATTTTGGACTTTTCAGATTTTCGCATAGCATAGAATTTTTTTTGTTATTGTTGTTGTTATTATTAGCTTTTTAGGAATTTTTTTTAATTGTAACTTAATGTTAAGCGCTTTTGAATATTTTATGGTTCTATCACTATACAAATTCTTTATCATTATCATTATCACTATCTCCTATAAAACTGGCGTGAAATAACCTCTTCATGTATCTTATTTTGTCTTTTTCATCTTCCGCTTTCAGGTGAACTCATTTTCCGCATACTTCAACAAATCCTGCTGGAAGCACGCATAGAGTCCAGCAAAACTGAGCTTTCGCAGGCTTTAAAGACGACTGCGTGGGAAAAAGGTTTTGCGATATCTGACAATCATGGAGAGGGAAACTGCATGTTTTTTGCACTTTCAGAGCAGCTTTACCTTATCAAAGGAATTCAAATGTCCCATGATGAGTTACGCCGAACTGTTGTACAACACCTTCGGGAAAACCCCAGGCTGGTAAATATCTTATTACCTTATTAGGGTGCACACATTTGCAGTATACGCGCATAGCTGTGGCATTTGCCCGCTACATTGTTTTAATTCCTCTTAAAGGTTAAAAACAATAAGGCCCTGCCCACATGTATCCGAAATACGCGTCCACACGAACCGTATTTGAATCTTTTTCTCCCGTCCACATAAAAATGCTAAAATGATTGAAATACGATAGCATCCCTTTACAGAGCATGCGCAATGTCGTATTCTAAATCCCCTGTATTCGTCTATCCGCACGTCGTTTTCTAAAATCTCCACTCTTTGGACCATTTGTGAAAACCTGCTTCGTCGGCGCCCGAAAATGCCGATCACGTGTGGACGGAAAGCTAAAATGGACAAATAAATCCCCGATTTAAAAAAATATATATATATCCGGATACGTGTGGAGGGGGCCTCAAATTCCTGCGATTAAATGTGACGGCTTTAGGGGTATGATGCAAATGAATCCACCCTTTATGAGCAAAACATCAGCTCTGCATGAGCATCACGCTTGTTTGTACTTTGCTTCGTCGTTCACTGTACGACTGCGACGCAAAACGTCCATATGCGACGTTTTGTGTAGGGCACCGAACCCCCCACGGGGAATTATTGTTTTCGGGCTGGGATATAGTCATTAAGAACTCAAATCTAAGAAAATTCGTCGACTTATGTTAAATTAATCATTATGATATACTTTGAGAGAACGCAAATTCTTTTCCCAAGTTACTTTTCGAGTCGGAGGCATAAATGGATACGGAGAAATCTTTTTATCTCTTTTTGTTGGCTCGATCGTCATGCTCATGTCCTATTTTATTTTTTAACTGTACGGTATATTGCTAGACTTGAAATGTCGACCAACACAAGTTTTGTGTGAACAGGATATGACTACATACTGGTTTAAAAGTCGCAATTTCCAAACTCACATTATTTTAACAGTAAACATGCCTTCCCTCCTCTCTCTCTCTCTTACACGTGTAACGGACACCTCCCTAAAACCTCCTAAACCTACTCCACCTCCCTAAAAGTGTTGGTAATGCAGTTCTTAACTGTTATTTTTTTTTGACATTTTTAAGGAGGGTTGTATAGGTCACACAGGTTAGACCCCTTTTAGTAGTCGAATCTTATTACTGTGAAGTGGAATAAATTAACGTCGATGACATGACATCTTTATCTCAGCAATAAAATGCGGTAGAATCTCATCAAGATAACGTCACGAGCTATTTTTATGTAGTATTTAGCATACCCAATTATTCTTATATTGATGATGTAACTTGTTTTCTACCACATCGGGTTACCCTCTCAGCCGGGGTCAAATTTTGCCATGTACACGTTTCAAGGTTGGGTAACCCGCCTAGCCGGGGTCGGGTTCGTGATACATCAAATTCGCGCAAAATTCACTTTGACGGTGGCTTTGCATCATTATTAAAGTTAACAATAGAAAGCCATTGCACTGAAGGTTGCAACAAGAGCAACAAGGGAGTGGAGAAGTGCATTAATCGCCAAAACACGTTGTTTGCCAGTATTTTCTTGTTTACGTGCTTAGCGGCCATTCAATAATCTTGAGAAAGTGCACTCCGGGATGGCGGGCTTGTAAGATTGCATGTAAAGGAGGGATATTTTTTTCCCCCCACCTCCATGTAAACAGGGCCTAAATTATGTGCGTCATGTTTTTATTTGGTCATGAAGACAACTCTGAACCATGACGCCTTCATTGTCCATTGAAGACAACTTAATCTGTGTTCACACTATACCGTATAGTTTTTTCGCGGGCACAAAAATCATACGGGATGGGGTTTCAGTTCACACACAAGAAGGGTGATTTCGGCGCGATTTCTGTTAAACGGAGAGAAGCTGTCCCGCGCCGATCTCTTAAGTGGAGAGTCACATATCGGATAGATGTTCACACTATACTGGATGGCTTTTCGTGTCGTCACCAAAGCTTATCTGGTATAGTATGATCATAGCTTTATTGTTCTGGTTCCGGTTCACTGATTCTTGGCGCGCAAAGGAGATAAAGACGTCATCGACGTTAATATATTCCACTTTAAAAAAGACGTCTACCTGGCTCGCCTTGTACTACTAAGGTGAACAAATCGCTGCTTTAATACTTTAATAGGGATACTCCTAAAACAGTGTACACTATACTAGTGCTGATACCAGCAAGGTCAGCCTTAGAGAGAACAAACAGCGCGGCTGTTTAAATAAAATACCTTCTACAAAAGCACTCTACCTTTTTCTCTATTAACTACAGTATTTTCTTTCTTTCTTACAGCCGGATGGGACAGAACTGTTTCATTTTGTTGATGGATATCCATCTTGGGATGCCTACCTCACAAGTATGATGGCAGATGGTACATGGGGTGATCACGTGATTCTACACGGCGCGGCAAACTGTTTTCAAACGTGCATCCACGTGATCAGCAGTCTGCAGCATCGCCATGACGTAATGATCGGCCCAGAGTATGATGTTATTGGTAGCAACCGGCTCGTGCTGGGTCACGTGCACGAGCTTCACTATGTTAGCCTTATTCCACAGATAGGAGGTAAAGATGTCTGATTATACTGCCATTCAAGAGTTGTTAACTCGCGATATCAAATTGAAGACACTTGATTTGAACAACTGGCTGAACCTTTATTGTGGCAACTTATTCGCAAAGATGCTGGCAAGAAACAAGATGTCTTTTATTCTTATGTACAGTTTTATAATCCGTGAATGTTATTGTTAACGGTACAAATAGCCATATAAATAGACTAAGTATTCATTACAAAACATTTTCTGTTTCAAAAAATTAATACAGCCCCTTCAATTAGTTGGATGAATTACTGTAGTGTTCTTAATATAACTTGGTTTTTAGGGCCAGCACCTTAATTGCCAGCAGTCCCCTGTAAATACTCCATCATTACAGCCGGTTGTAGTGTAAGACGTAGCAAAATGCGTGTACTTGTGATTAGCTTGTTTCTGTGTCCTCGAGTGAATAACTGTTGCTGATGATTGTTACTCCGTTTGCGGCGTGTTTAAACACTTAGTCTTACCGTCTGCAAGTAGACGAGTCAGAGTTTTTTCTGACATTTTCATCAGTATTTAGGTGTTCAGAACAGCTTCTGTTTCAGATATCACTTGCCTGAAGTCTGTGAAATAATTCATTGTCAGTTTTATTGATGAGTAAAATTTTTTCTTAAAAGATCACCCATACCTCAAGATGTTCCTAACCACGGAGCATCATGAGTCAAAACACATTTTCAATCGAATTTGTTGGTAAGAATCGCTCCTGTCTCAGGTGCTCTTTATCAATGTGTGAATATTTTCAGCCTTTAGAGTAATTCTTTTTTTTTTGGAATTTTAGTTAAGGGAATCAATAGTTAAGGGTATTGTCTGTGTAAATACAACAGCTTCTCATCCGCCCCGTCGCGGGGGAAAACCAATTCCTTATGACAGTCGACTCTCTCCTAACGGACACCTAGAGTTGGTCCCTGCTTTTCTTTACTCCCTTTATTTGACTCTCTATAAGATGGAAACCTCTCTAAGACGGACACTTGGTGCTGGTCCCAAAGGTGTCCGTCTTAGAGAGGGTTGACTATATACAATGTAAGTATCCTTATATCAGACGTAATTTACTAGCGTATTTTTCTTACCATCCTAAGTATATATATATTTTATAGACCACTGCGTCTATTTAGGTACTTCAAGCAATAAAGGTTATAGTAAATGTAGTTAGGTTTAAGAGTCACGTCCCTCTACCTAGTTAGTGAGAATGTTTAAAATTATCTAGTAAAGGTGTCACATAGTTTATCAATTTATACATTAAACAAGTGTCAAAATAAGTCTAGTTACTCCGTCAATTAGCCATTCGTAAGTTAGGGTCAGTGTTAAAGAGGAGAGTGATTCCAGTCAAATAAGGACGTTATTTTAATTCAAGGCAAGAATCACGTATCTAACATCCATTGTTACTGAAAGTGAGCTCTAATCGATTAAAATTGTTTAAAACTTAGTCGAGTCACTTTCAATATTGTTTTTTCTTGGCCTAGTTAAGAATGCGGGTAGAGACTTAATCGTAAAACGCATGAAACGAGCCAGATATGATGCATTTTTTGGCATTCTACCATTATTTCAGTCACTTTCAGCACTATGGCTAACTTGGGGAAAAAAAATTCATGAACTCAAAGCTATTTAACTCGTTCAGGCGCACTAACGTGGCAAAGAGATGAGCAATGGCTCTTTGACACCCCAGGCTAGGACGGCTTCTAGTTTCTTCCGCCCCAAGCTCCTCGCACTGCCTCGTCCACCTTGACTTGTTTGAGCGCCTGACCAACAAAGCCAAGCGTTACATTCTGTTGACATGGGTTGAAATCTGAAAACGATATTACAATTAGCTGGCTTCCGATAAGCTTCAGCGTTTTCGGCATACATTTTCCTCTGCATTAAGAAAAAAAACCTGTTTTAAACAATCTGCGGATTTTTTTAACTAGAGTGTTGATATTTATCTCTTTCTCGTGTCTCGTGATTGTTTTTGTGAAGTTTCAGCTTTGACTGTTTTCTTGTTGACTGTTCTTTTGTTCTGAGCTGATTTTCCTGGGTCTTGCCCAATTCTCTCTCCTTGGCATTTAGGCTGAAATTCGTAATGATGACATTAAGTATTAAGACACAACATAAAGTAATAAGGCACACCTTTACTCGACACCCCTTTTAAAGTAGCCTCCCTTTCAGTTCTTCTTTTGGCTTGTCACGCAGTCCTCCCCGATGTGGGGCAGTAACTTGTGACGAACCCTTAAAGAGGTCTGCGTGGGACACTACTATTAACGAGACTTTCATTGGAAAAAAATCTTGGCTTTCCTCCCTGAAAAACCATGCACAAGTGAGAGCAAAATGGTCGACTGTTACCCCTAAACTGGTCAATTTTATAGGGAGGTCCCCCGGTTCATCTTCTTGGTGGAGCACAGCAGTTTCCTTTGGAACAAACCAATTTACATAAAAGCTTACGAAGTATGACCTTGAGCTAATTAAAGGATTAAACAAAAACAATAAGAAATAATTCTACTCAAAAGGTCTATTTGGAGACTAGTTACACAAGGTGATTCAGACATTGCGATATTTCTCTTCTAATGAATTGAAACGGACCTGCTTTGTAAACGATCTGTCATTTACTGAATTAAGCAAACACTTTTCTTTGTTCTCTTCCGTAAACTGTCCGGGTGTAAAGGGCACAGCTTTCAGAAATTTGGGTGTCCTTATCCTCTCTTGACGAAGCCAATTTTTAACCCCTTGAACCTTAGGATCAAAATTTGAATTCTCATTTGTTGCCCCTATTCATTTGCTACAGAAGTAGTGGGGAGAAGTTGATAAAATATAAAGCCACTGATTTATCTCGTGTGCTCATGTCCGTAATTCTCATGAACACTCTGTTTTCCAAAGTAGTGATATTGCAGGGAGAAATTTGATGCTGATCACTCGCTTAAAGGGTTAAAGTTTTACCATGGTAGAAAGGAGAATTTGTCCTTCCTGTTTTTGTTTCGTGAACCCGACTGAAATATACTAGTACTGCATCCATAAACGTGATCTCCTTGACGCTAAAAAGATCAGTTCAATTCCATAATACCTGAAAACAAACTTGACAAACTGTTTTATCCGTCATTACACCATGAAAATCTCCTCTGCCGCATGCTTCACAATACTTAGTTCGACAGAACCTGCACTTGAATATCTGCAAATTTGAATCGAAGTAATCAGATGGAAGCCAGTTTAAAGCGAATCTCGCTTAGATGAGTTGCTGTATACCACGTTTCTTGATTTCTTGCAAGAATTCGCCTTTTCAGTATGTACCAGTCTCTCAAAGTCTCAAAAATTACCATTTACACAGACTTGATCTGTGCGTCTATAAACTAACTTGTGGACGACTAACTTGTGCACGTCATCGACCGGTCGTGACCATTCGAATGAAACCTTTTCATTTAAAATTCTTTCACATGCATTTGGTTCTCAATAGTTCAAAGGCATAATAACCTGACATACCTTACTTTTTTCAGAGCAGCCTCAGCGACACATGTTTGGAATACACAAATTGTTTAAGGTAAAGAAATTTGATTTGAAACATAAAATAGTTGCGCTTTCTTGATAATAAGAGCAGCAAACGTTTGCTTCTAAGCTGAGCTATCTGAGCTCCTACAGCCGCCGTCTACAGAAACATTATTTACATGTGCACAGCGTGTGGTATCATTTTAAACCAATTGACAGCTTGTTTACAATCCTGGAATGTAATGCAAATTGTAATACACACAAAGAAAGAAAAAAAAGCCAGCTTAACAATTCCGCTGACTTTTAGAGTTACGTCAGTCATTGTAATGATTATGGTGGCCTTCTAGACCTTTCTACAACCGATTGTACATTTCAAATTTAACGCTATGTCAAGAGGACAGTTTGACTAATGGGCGGGGGTCGCGGGTCGCGGGTAGCGGGTCGCGGGTAGCAGGTAGTGGGTGGGAAAATTCGCGACTTCCAACCCGCACCCGCGACATACATCCACGACCCGCGACCACTAGTCAAACTTTCAAGACTGATATTCTGATATTGCTGTTTTAGGTCATTTCGGTGCTGGTTATAAGTTAGTGGCCCCTGTAGCTATAGATTCATTGTATCAACTTGCGTGTTAAGAAGATAACAAAAACATTTCACCATTACTTGAAAAAGTTGGCCGAACTTTTTCAAGTTTCAATTTATGTCATGCATCTTTGCAATCAGTTGCAACAGGCAACAGGCGACAGGAGAAAGGCTAATTCCTTAATGTAGTCTTATTTAATAACGGGTACAAGCCAGGGGCGTAGCTAGCCCATAGACTTGTAGGCCCGCGGGCCTACACATTTTCGCTTTGATCACTCTACCGCTTGTGATAAATTATACTTTGATGGGGTAAGCTAAAAAAAAGGGTTGATGAGGTCAGTGCATACTCGTCATCCGTGCAATTTTCAGGATATGTGGAAATGAACGTCAGCCAGGCCTACAACTAGTCAAAAACTGGTTACGCCCCTGAAAACGTTTCCGACTCCATTTTACACGATCCTGCTACTACATCAACAAGTCTTGGTACTATGATGTCTTAGTATTAACTGCATACTTAGCTGACCCCAAGCCATCAATCTTCGGCTTCGAAGGGTAGGCGTTACTGATTCATGGGATCTCAAAATGGCCGTAGTATTATATAGAGGTAACTCTGCCTCGTACCTAGACGTCTCTCTCTCTCTCTCTCGATGAAAATGTGCGCACAAAGGAAGGCGGGAAGGAGACAAAGGGCGAGATGTACTCTTCCCATGGTCCCCTGCGGTTCATCACCAGTCACTCGCGTTTCTCGCTCGCCATTATCATTTGTTATTCACATAGTCATCATTCCTCGCACAATTTATACCTTGTTGTTTCTGCTCTTTGTATTGTTGTCTTCAGGTTATCCAGATGTGGAGCCCCCTGTTAGAAGATTAAGACTTGAAAGGTGACAAGTCTAAGCCATACAGTGTACACCTCTCCCCCAAAAATCACCGTCATGCCTAGCTCCTTCTCTACTTTCAAAATGCCGGCACGTGGAGTCCCTTCTAAACAGTAGCCATTAGCATGAGAGCGAGCGACCTCAGATTACCTAGACATTTTCCTTCAGGATAAATCTTTGCAAGGGACATTTTCCATTTCATTGCGATCGTAATTACCAAAATTCCCCACTACAATTTATTCGCCGCGCGCATCTAATTCAGTTTTTTACAGAAATTACTTTCTGGCCCACAACTGTATGTTTCAATAATTGCCTTAATCAAAACCATAACAAAATTCTGTTATCTTATTGGCTATCACTAGCCCCAGATTCAGCATTAATCATACGAGTAGTTAAACAAAATCAGACGACCGTGTATTAATTCTGCTATCTAATCAGCTAGCTGTATTTTGTTAACACATCACCTCGTTAAGCAAAATAATATTTGACCGCTGTTTTAACTTTTATACTTTTACGCAAGTACAGCATTTCAAAGATATTTACTGCGTGTGATGCCTTAAACTTTTTAGAGCCAACAAAGCAAAGCTATCTTAATCAGTTTGTCATAAGAATGATGCGTTTTTCAGTCAGTGACACTGGCAACTACTGGAAAACGTCCGAGTTATGTATGCCACAGGAGTCGAACATATAACTTGGTTACTGGTCCAGATCCTCTACCACTGAGCTATGAGAGATTCGTAGGAGCAAAGGCCGTTAAACTATGTTCATACTCCAAATGCACATCTTCCATATTGCGTCTTATGCACCCCAAAAATTTTGCATAAATTTTAAAGAGAAATTGAGGATCTAACGCTTAGGAAAAAAAAAATGGTGGGGGATGGACATGGCAAACAGGCTGTATTATGTAAGTTGTGCATCCTGTCTTATGTCGTTTGCAAAGTCGTTTGCTTTAATTCCCAGGTATTCATGGCATAACTTTTTCAAAATATAATCTCGCATTTTTTACTTCTCTAATTGTTAGGTACTTTGGAAGCTGATGACGTAATCTGTAAGGAATGAGAGCTTCTTTTTCTGTTAATGTACTGTTGAACAGGTTTATTAATGCAAAGTATGTTTTCTCTTCAGATGTTGATAGTTATGAAGACGGTGATGGACAGGTCTTAAGAGATACATTGAACAGGTGTGAAATATAACAAATAAGTGATCTTTATTCACCCTCGGCAAGTACGTATATAGAGAAAAAACTGGTGATGTTATACCTAATTCTAATAACGTTGTCTTAGTAAAATGCCAAAAGAAAAAGTGAAAGAAGGGGTAATAAGCCAAATAAGAATGAATAAGGCTTACTAATAAACCATTATAACATGCATTCCTTTGCAGCATAGAATTTTTAAAAAACAACTGTAAAAGTGACGGCTATTCGCGAATGTTGTTAATGAATGCACCCTATATGTTGCTAAAGTGGATCGTTCCCGAACTGCTCTGCGAGGAGCAGTGATAAGTAATATGGAACGTACTCCGACAGTGTGAAGTAGTTGAGAGACTTTCAGAAGGACAAAACGATTAATTTTTAAAGTAGCACTTACAATTGTAATCCTTGACTGAGTTTGTTACACGTTTTCTACCTCACATTTTCATCCTGTTCCTTCTCTCTTTTCATCCTCAGTTTCTCCCTTTGTCATTCTCAGTTTCTTGCTGTCTTGTTCTCTGTTTTTCTTTCTCCTTTTCTTTCTTTCTCTTAGTCTTTTTCCTCTTTCCGTTTGAGTACAAAATCCTTAATAATTCATAAAGAAAAAACAAAAGAAATTTTATGTTTAATAGTGTCTTCATATATCTGATAAAGACACGGCTAAACTTTACGTCCATGACATCACATCTCAATTGACCAATCATGTCAATAACTAGAGTTAAATACTATCAATTTAAGTCCCAAGAGTGATCAAGGTCAATTTTCTCCAATAAAATCAATACGTAACAAAAAATAAAGGTTATAATGATCACCTAAAAGAAACTGCTCTGATCTTAAAACAAATTCTCTCAACTAATTCTTTAAGAAAATGTATAGAGATCAGTCTGGAGAATTTGTATGTTGATATTGGGATAACAGGGGTTAATTAGCACAGAAACCTTGTGAGTTAATTTTCAGCATAGTGGTTTAGCTGTACCTGGACTTCATTAGTGCGTGTGTTTTGTAGGTTATCTTGGGAAGAAGAATCAAATGTATCAACAGGAGACGACAATTCGCCAGCGGGTAAATGTGAGTTTTTTCTTACATAACAAGTGGCAGTTAATTTTTGCGAGAGCTTTAATGTTGTATTCTACGTGAACTGATTTTTGCGATCGGTCCAATCTGCTTTTCTCACTGGGATTTAATTACACGAGTTTTGTGGGTTCAGTTGAGTCAAAATGCAGGCAAACACTGGGTAAGTGGGTGGTGCGGCGGGGTGTGCGGCTTATTTTTGCGATTTAATTTCTTTACTTTAGTTTTTTGGTGAAAAAATCCTTAAAAATTGCAAACATTTAGTGCCACACGATTTTAGATTTGATGATTGAAAATACACCTTGTCACGGTTTTGGGAGCTGTCTTGACTAGTAGGCAACCACGTAAGGAATTACAGTGTTTGAATGAGAATCTAATGTCGAATAATTTTCGTAAAACGGCTGTTCTGGAAAAAAAAAAAAAAAGATTTGTAAACTTGAGCTACTCAGCAAAGGATTCTAGTAATAAACACTGTGCTTAAATTTCTCCAGACGCTTGAGAACTGTCTGCGTGGGAGGCTAGCTTTCATTAGATTTTCTAAATATTTGTCTACAATTTTTCCCGGGAAATTTTAGTCGGCAGGAGGAAAATTTTTACAGACAAATGTATATAACATTTTAAAAAGTAGTTCTAGCGCAGGTAGCTACATGTAACGCTGTAAAATTTTTTCAGTAGAACCGTTAGGAGTGAAGCTTTAGTTTACAATCCACATTTTTCTCAGAACAGCCGATTTACCCTGTGCTCACTCGTGTCAGAACAGCCGATTTAACAAGAATATATTTAAGTCAACTGCAAAGGAAACTAAAGCAAATTCTCTTTGGATTTTACTAAATTATGCAATGTCTTGAAATTCTTTAATTTTCTATCACTGATATTTGATTCCGTATTCCGTTTCCGTAGTAGCCTCCCCCGCAGACATTCTTAGGCTTGCGTCACGCGTTCCTTGAGGAAGGAATGCGTGACGCACGCCTAAGAATGT